TTTAGTTAGCACTGTGCCACTTTTAGCTAGCATGCCATTATTTTTAGTTAGCATTGGGCCACTTTTAGCTAGCATTTCATTATTTTAGCTAGCATTGGGCCATTTTATGTTAGCACGTCATTATTTTTAGTTAGCATTGGGCCACTTTTTGCTAGCATGTCATTATTTTTAGTTTGCATTGTGCCACTTTTTGCTAGCATGTCATTATTTTTAGTTTGCATTGTGCCACTTTTTGCAAGCATGCCAACTTTTTTAGTTAGCACTGTGCCACTTTTAGCTAGCATGCCATTATTTTCAGTTAGCACTGTGCCACTTTTAGCTAGCATTTCATTATTTTAGCTAGCATTGGGCCATTTTATGTTAGCACGTCATTATTTTTAGTTAGTATTGGGCCACTTTTTGCTAGCATGCCAATTTTTTTAGTTAGCACTGTGTCACTTTTAGCTAGCATGCCATTATTTTTAGTTAGCATTGGGCCACTTTTTACAAGCATGTTATTATTTTTAGTTAGCATTGGGCCACTTTTAGCTAGCATTTCATTATTTTAGCTAGCATTGGGCCATTTAATGTTAGCATGTCATTATTTTTAGTTAGCATTGGGCCATTTCTTGCTAGCATGTAATCATTTTTAGTTAGCATTGTGCTACTTTTTGTTAGCATGTCATTATTTTTAGCCAGTATTGTGCTACTTTTTGTTAGCATGTCATTATTTTTAGTTAGCGTTGGGCCACTTTTAGCCAGCATGTCATTATTTTTAGCTAGCATTGTGCCACTTTATGTTAGCATGTCATTATTTTTAGTTAGCATTGGGCCACTTTTTGCTAGCATGCCATTTTTTTTAGTTAGCACTGTGCCACTTTTAGCTAGCATGTCATTATTTTTAGTTAGCATTGGGCCACTTTTTGCTAGCATGCCAATTTTTTTAGTTAGCACTGTGCCACTTTTAGCTAGCATGCCATTATTTTTAGTTAGCATTGGGCCACTTTTTGCTAGCATGTCATTTTTAGTTAGCATTGGGCCACTTTTAGCTAGCATGTCATTATTTTTAGTTAGCATTGGGCTACTTTTTGCTAGCATGTCATTTTTGTTAGCATTGGACCACTTTTTACTAGCATGTTATTATTTTTAGTTAGCATTGGCCCATTTTTAGCTAGAATGTCATTATTTTTAGTTAGCATTTTACCACTTTTAGCTAGCATTTCTGTTTGTATTTTTTTAGTTAGCATTTTGCCATTTTTACTTACAAGTTTTCAGCTTAGCATCAGGTTTTTCAGCAAATTTCAACAATCATATTAATTTTGCAGAAAATGCTATTCCTTCAGTTTCTGTTTGATTTTTAATGGATGTTTTTATCACAGGATGGATCTATCTGACAGGAATCCACTTGTGATTACAGTTCTGTTCTTTGCCGATTTTCAATAACAGTTGGAAGTGTTCCTTATAAGAGGTCCTCATGCTGCAAAACGCTCTCACTAAACTGCTTACGTTCCACCGGATGAGCATGAAAATTAGCAGCAGGGCTTAGACGTGAACATGCTACTTTATTCTGTTTTGATAAGTAGTCAACAAAGCAGAAAGCCARGAAGCAACAGGGCTGTTCTTCATGTATTCCATAGAGTGCAACAATTTTTTTTTCACTCTTACAGAGCAGATGTTAACACCCCGGCACTACAGCCCAGGTGTGAATAATAACATGAAACATATTCATGTTTTGTTCATTAAAATCTTTTGAGAGCAGAATAAAAGTGTTCACACCTGTTCTCCTTCAAGATTAGGGCTTTAAGAGCACAGAGGGCTTGAATGGATGTKCTGCTTTTTAAGACATGGCAGATCACACATTTATAGAAGTTAGGGCCCCGACTTTTATTAGCAAAAACCTAAGTGGAGATAAACATATGCTGCTTTCGTTTCATGAGGGGGAAGCAAGTGGAACCTTTAAATTTAACTGTGATGTTTGTCCCTTTTTTATTAATCTATGATGTCATATGATCTCTCAATCATGTCATATAAATTTCTTTTTTTTAATGTGTCTTATTACCATGCATGCTGTGAGGTGAGGTAGTTCCACCTCATGTGCTTCAGGCAGTTATTTGCACCCCAGTCAGCTTCTAGAGCTGCACACATGACAGGAAGTCAAACATGCTGCTGCTTACCTGTTGAGTTTCAACACAAGGAACACGATGAAAAGACTTYCTCTCAAGTGAGCACACAGCTGTGCTCTTTATTCAGCTTTAAAAAAATAAAAAAAGAGGGGGGCTGGGAGGAATTATTACCTTGAAACAAACAAAGCAGACGTAGCTCAATAATCATCTAATTCACTATGAGGAAGTGCATTTAACACGGAAGGTTGCATGCAAAGTACACCTGCACACTCAACCCTGAAATTACATTTCTATACAAACCTAATTGTTTTCCCAGTTCTATTTTAGGTGCAACATAATCACTGTCTGGATTACTTTCAGACATATTTCTTTCTTAATGTTTGGAGCAATGAATTCATGACCTGTAGTGGTGTAAGAGGGATGTAGTTCAACTAAAAGAACTTTGTTTATATTCCAAAGTGCAACAAAACCGGCTGATTTGAGACACACAGCAGAAAACAGGAGATGGTAAAGTTAAAATAAGGAGGAATTCAGACCAAAGCATTGCAGCACCAATTTTTAAAGACCCCAACTGAATGATTTAAATGTGAAAAGGAATGATGTAAAAGCATGACATGTCTACCTTAAGGTCAGTTAGTTGTGGCAGCCATCTTTATTCAAATATACTCGAAAAGGTAACCAGTTCTGGTAGATTAAAAATTTGATTTTTGTGAGTTTTGTTTAAATGTGAACAGTAGTTTCTGAGATACAACGGGTTAAATAAGTATTGAACACGTCACCATTTTTCTCAGTAAATATATTACTAGAGGTGTTAATG